ATCACCCTGAGCCTCAACAACAAGAACGCCAGGTAGGACGTGTCCCCTGCCACCTGTGCCCCTGTCCCCTCGCCCACCCGGCAGCCCCGACCCCCTCACACCCTGTGTCTCCTCAGGACAAAGGCGCTGGTGCTGGAGCTGCTGGCTGCCGTCTGCCTGGTCCGAGGTGGCCACGACATCATCTTGGCTGCCTTTGACAACTTCAAGGAGGTGAGTCCCCAACAGGGACACACGGTCCCCACGCTGACACCCGTTGTCCAGCTGCATTCGTGCCTCGGTTTCCCCACATGTGGCAGAGCCCTGCATCATCAGGGCATCCTCCATCCTGAAAATCCCCATCCCATGACTCGCTTGGGGATGCTCCAGCCATTGGGCTTGATGTCCCCATGCCAGTGCATGTCCCCAGGGCCATGTCCCAATTGGGCATGACACTAGGCAGCACCTGGCAGGGCTGGGACGGTGTCACCGGCGGGTGCCTTCTGCCATGCCACCCCCCTGGGTACCCCCTCAGCCCCCTGCTCCCACCCCAGGTCTGCGGGGAGAAGAACCGCTTTGAGAAGCTGATGGAGTATTTCCGAAACGAGGACACCAACATCGACTTCATGGTGAGTGACTGGTGGGGCTGGTGCTCTGCTGTCCCCAGGGCATTGTGTCCCCAAGGGCTGCTGAGCCACCATGCTGTCCTGGGGGTGCCACGTCCCAAGGGCTGCCAAGCCGTTGGGCTGTCCCCACTAAGTTGTGTCCCCAAGAGCTGCTGGTCCATCCCCAGGGTGCTGCGTCCCAAGGGCTGTCAAGCCACTCTGCTGTCCCCAGGGTATTGTGTTCCCAAGTGCTGCTGAGCCACCACGCTGTCCCCAAACCATGGTGTCCCCAAGGGCTGCTGAGCCACCACACTGTCCCCAGGGCATCATGTCCCAAGGGTTGCTGAGCCGCTGGTCCTTCCCCAGGTCCCCATGTCCCCAGGGCTGTGAAACCACCATACATTCCCCACAGGCACCATGTCCCTGAGGGCCACCGACCCACAGCACAGTCCCCAGGGCACCGTGTCCTCAAGGACTACCGTGCCATGCTGGTGGCGATGCTGAGCCTGTGCCTGTCCCGCAGGTGGCCTGCATGCAGTTCATCAACATCGTGGTGCACTCGGTGGAGAACATGAACTTCCGTGTTTTCCTGCAGTACGAGTTCACCCACCTGGGGCTGGACCACTACCTGGAGGTGGGTGATCCTGCACCGCCTCGGTGCTGAGCCCGTGATGCCGGAGGTGGGTGGGTGCTGGGGGCGGAGGGTCCCACCGGCCGTGACGGTGCCACCGGCTGTCCCATGGCAGACCCTCCGTCTCACCGAGAGCGACAAGCTGCAGGTGCAGATCCAAGCCTACCTGGACAACGTCTTCGACGTGGGGGCCATGCTGGAGGACTCGGAGACCAAGACGGCCGTGCTGGAGCACATGGAGGAGCTGCAGGAGCACGTCAACCAGGTGGGACGTGGGCGCGTGGGCAGGAGCTGCTGACGCAAGCCCTGAGGGAGGGGATGGGGCTGAGCGACGTCGCCTCGTCCCCTGCAGTTGACGGAGAAGCTGCAGGATGCGGAGAACGACTCCATGGCCAAGATAGCGGAGCTGGAGAAGCAGCTGAGCCAGGCGCGGCGGGAGCTGGAGGCGCTGCGGGTGAGCACCCGTGGGTGCTACGGTGCTGTGGGAAGGGGTGGGTGCCTGAGGGCCGGGCACAGTGGGTACAGGGGTACAGTGGGACACCAGTGATGTGCGCGGGCTTGTCACCACTGCAGGAGCAGCTGAGCCCACCGCGGCCCCCCA